GTGTGGCCAGCTCAGCCCACCAGGGGGCGGGGCTGGCTGGCATGTGGTGCTGGGGGATTGAACCGCGGTCCCTCATGCTTTGCCAAGCTTGTTCTAAGTAGGTGCCTTAGACCACTGAGCCATCTCTCCAGCCCCCTCAAAATATTCTTGAAGGAGCCAAATACCAACAAAGAAGGAAGTAGCTGGCAGGGGCCTTCGCCCTGAGATGTGACTCACTGCATGGGAGAAGCAGTTCAAACCTGTGGACACAAAGTGACTGCTGGTGACTCCAGAGGCCTCCAGGGAGAGATGAAGCAGTCGATGTGAAGGACTGCACTAGCTGGCAGTGCGTGCCAAGGGATCAACTGTCGCACATTGACACAGCAATGGGCTAGGAGCCATGTGGGACAGCAGCTGACTGAGTTCAGACTTAAGAGCAGCTGCTGGCTCCATCTAGTGGTTCCCAGCTGGGCTGAGGCCAACAGAAGGTACAATGATGGCTGTAGGCTGAATGAGTCTGGTCTCACCCAGAAGTAACAGGCTCACTGAGATTATCCACTACCCCACCAAAAAACCTGCTGGTTTGGTGGGTTAAATTAACAAGGACTGGCACTCTGTCTCCACAGGGTGACTGAGTGATACCAGAGAAGTATCTGAAAGTAGACATTTTCTTTTGTTGTTGTTGGGCACTTGTTTGTATTATTGTGGTGGTTTTGTTTTTGTTTTTTGGATTTGTTTTACCTTCACTGTTTCATCTTATTTTTATGAGTATAAATGTGGTTTCTAGCCCCTCTGTGGTTGTGGATCTGCTGTTCTTCTTTTTCTCTTTTCCCTCTTTCCCTCAAGTCATCTGCACCAGTTTCCCAAAGCTTGCATGATCCCCCTTTGTCCTCCAGCCTTACTTCTAATCTGTCTCTCCTTCCACTTCTCTATTTTCTCTTAACCCATTTTAAATTTTAAGCCCTGAGGGTAAAATTGACATATTAAGAATGTGCATACTGCATATAATTTTCTGGTTTTAGATTTTGTTATGTAAGCACAAATCTAGTTCATATAGTGAAAGATGTCAAAATATGGTTATCTCAGTTATCATTTTCTAGGCTGTGTTTAATGCTACTGTTAATGGCACCACAGTAGCCAAAAGTGACACAATAGTTCTAAACAGCTGGTGTTCCTAGCACTCCAAGACTGAGATTCAGTAAGGGTCACAGAAATTATGGCACAGTGCCAAAGAACCAGAGGCT